GCGGCGGCGGTGGCGTTATCCCCGTTGGCGTCGAGCAAGACCCACGAGACGTACAAGGAAAACCGACAGGGACGGGGAAACAGCGGGAGCGACAAAGACGCTCGCAGGGTAGTCGGAAAGAGGGACAAGGAGGACGAACGAAGATAGCAACGAAACCGGTAGAAAGAGAGAGACGCGATGAAAAGAAGCGGGGGTGGCTTTCATTAAGCTTGCATTGTCTCAGCACCGCGCTATTATAGCCGAGTGAATAACTTGGAGCCATCCGGTAGTCGGAGGCAAAGCTTCTCGCTTCTTTTTTCCTCTTTTCCTCCCTCTTTGCTACTTCCAGCCCCCCGCATCGATGTATTTGGGATTCTCTTCTCGCCCTTTCCAACGCGATTCGTCTCCATTGCTCTTACGACCGGTTCCTCTAAACCTACCACGTCGCCTCTTCTTCCTTTCCAACCGCCAATTTATCTCGCGACCTCGACACCCTTTTCCTCGGCATCCTCGCGTCGGCGCGCTGCTGAAATATTAACGAACCGAACGAACAGCGCGATATAGCGCGCGACCGAACGTTCGGACGGCGCCACGTCAAGCTTTGATTTCACGCGAGAAGGCGCCAGCCTGTTCCCCGCCGTGGATGGGACGACCATCGTCATCCATCCGACCGGACATTGAGCGCAAGAAAGACGGAGAGAAGGAAAAAATAGGGGAACGAAGCGAAATAAAGACAGGGCTGATTTTAACGAGTGCACGCGACCCGTGGGTCGTAAAATTTTCACTGTCCTATGCTGTTCGTTAATTACTCGCGGCCTCGAAACGCGCTCACTCGCTCGCTCGTCGTTGGCTTGCTCGTTCGTTCGTTCGTCGAACGCTTTCGATTCTATCGCGTATACACACGTTTACGTACCTATATGTGTGTATCACGCGTATGTACGTGTCCTTTATGTAGCTTACGCGCATGTGTGCATCTACGTTCTGGATACGGCCCGATTCTGTCACCTAGTTCGAGGTCGGTCGTTAATGACGCGGAAGGAACGCTAGTAGCGCGCCATGGTCGTCGCCCACAAAACGGGGCGAAGGGGTAGCTCGTTCGTCAGAGGCGCAGTTCCGTTTTGCCGATTAGTAGGTTTGATGTCCGCAATGGAGCGGCTCGTTTCCTCCCCGTCGCTCGTTTCGGTTATTACGAAGTCGCGCGATTTTTGCTTTCGTTCCGCTCGATATTCCTCTTTTTGCCTCTCGGGCTTTTTGTTGTCCTTTGTCGGTCTGACCGATTTCGAGCACCGAATCAACGAGAGACCACTGTTTGAGGAATAATCGTGGTCGGATGAAAAATTTCTCCGGTATGGAGAATTACTTTTCGCATTAAGGAGCAGTATTTTTATTATGCGAAGAATATTTAAGACGTTCTATATCGCGAGATGTATAATTCCAGAGAAGATTTAAGAGTCGAGCTTAAATATTTTCCTCATACAACGATATAAACGCTACGAATAAAATAAGCAAGCAATATCGTAACTTGGACTCGAGAGCAAATAACGTTAACAGTTTTTCCTCGCTGTGTTACCAGCAGCGACGCGAGAATCTTCATAACGCGGTTTACCCTTAATCGACTTTTTCCTGTACTCCACTAAGTTGAATTTATTTGTATAGAGAACGCATTTCAGATTTTGTTGCTTAAGCCTACGTCCCGGGCAACCTAACACGAAATTTTGCGATACCTCATTACTATATAATTTGTGTTAAGACGCTAAGCTCTGGTCTTATCGACCTGCATACCGCTCCAGTTTCTCCGCGCGCTTTAATAAACAATAATAACGACGCAGTCCGGTGTACAAATATAAATACCTTACGGCCTCGAACATTACAAACTCTTTTTCCGGTTCGTACTCTGTGAAACTTTAGCCTCGTTGTACCAAACTCTTTTTACCGAAAAGACTTCAAAATTCCGCATATATTCGAACAATTAGTTTTCACGCTTTTTTCTTTCCAGTATTTTATCTACAGAGAAATCTTTCGCTGGAATTTTTATTCTACGTCTTTGATGTGTTCGCTCGCTTTAGAGAAATCGTAGAATTGGAGAAACTTCGAGGCAAGAATTCGAAAGATAGCGGTTCTTCTTTTCTCCTACTGACACGTGATCGACAAACGACTATCGGTATTGGGGCTGACAGTAATTGCTTAATACCTGTTTCAGATACTCCGTCGTTCGCGATAACGCGTTTACCTGGTTTTGGAATTCCGATCGTCGAGGGGATGTCCGTCAGCCTGAAATGCGAAGTGGACAGCAATCCGGCTAGCACACCGATTTGGCAACGTGGTAAGTGACAGTAGTAACGAAGAATTCCATGTTTCGTTAGCTATACATACAACCTACCTAAAACACAGGGATTAAAAGGAAATGGAAAATATGGAAAAATATATGTATATTTAGAAATATTATACCAGAACATTCGCATCTTGCAATTGTCTCTAATAAAAATGCAAAGTATCTCTTTCGAAACCAACCTACGTTTCTTCCTACTAATTCGCAACGTGGCTACCCCTAAAAAAAAAAAAAAAAAAGCAAGAAAAAAAAAACCTAGAATAACCGGCATATTTTCATCTTCTATTCCAAGACGGAATTATCTGCCTCATTGGTATCCTGGTATCGAGTGTTCCCATTTCCTATCAACGTCCAGACTATCAGTCTCTTCGCGGTCATCAGAAAACAAAACGATAAATCGTATAATCACATTAGTGTATACCGCGGCGACCCGAAGAGGACTATGGCGAGTTCGTGGAGTGAAAGTCAGAACAATAAATAATCCTACCCTGTTCCAGGCGAGCGAATCCCCTCATCGTGGATAAGTATGCGTGACAGATATTATCTTTCGTGGAGTAGCGAAAGCAACCCGATGGCGTGCTTCTTTCTCGTTCCTCTAACCCGGCGTGTTGTGAATGCTTCGTCAAGATTAAAAATTCTACGCTTCGAGACGGCCCCCAAAAAAAAAAAAAAAAAAAGCAAGAAAAAAAAAACCTAGAATAACCGGCATATTTTCATCTTCTATTCCAAGACGGAATTATCTGCCTCATTGGTATCCTGGTATCGAGTGTTCCCATTTCCTATCAACGTCCAGACTATCAGTCTCTTCGCGGTCATCAGAAAACAAAACGATAAATCGTATAATCACATTAGTGTATACCGCGGCGACCCGAAGAGGACTATGGCGAGTTCGTGGAGTGAAAGTCAGAACAATAAATAATCCTACCCTGTTCCAGGCGAGCGAATCCCCTCATCGTGGATAAGTATGCGTGACAGATATTATCTTTCGTGGAGTAGCGAAAGCAACCCGATGGCGTGCTTCTTTCTCGTTCCTCTAACCCGGCGTGTTGTGAATGCTTCGTCAAGATTAAAAATTCTACGCTTCGAGACGGCTTCTCCGCTCTTCCGTGGCCTTTCGTCAGTCACGCGCGCATCGCTACTTCTTCTTCTACTTCTTCTTTCTCGTCGTGCTTTTTCTTCCTTCCTTTTTTTCTTTCTTCTTTCTTCTTTTTTGTTCCTTTCATCCACCTATCCTCGCAGAAATCAATGGGACTCCATTGAGATTTCGCTTTCGAAGCGTTCCACCGACTTATTCCCGATAATTGGAAATCTCCTTGTACGAACGTGGAACGTCGTTGGCTCGTTCGAATTCGTTCGTCGTTTTTTTTTCCCTCTGACCGTAATCGATAGCTCGACGGTGAAGTGGTCGGCTCCCTTCCGGCGGAAACGAACCTCTCGATCGAAAAAAAACCCATAGAATAGAAACGAAAGCGAAAGAGATAGATTTCCGCGATACCTTGTATTTGTATTTCCTAACCACAGATCGAACGGTTATGAACGAATAATTCGGGGATAAAGAAGTGGAAATCGATCGATACGAGTCGAGTTCCTTTTAAGCACGAGGATCGAAGAAGATTGGCAAATGGAGAAGTTCTCTCGCCTCTTCCCTTAAATTCCATTTGCTTCGAGGAGGAGAAACGGGGACGGTGAATTACTCCCAGCCGACTGGATTCATTAGCAGCCTCTTGTTCTTTGTCAAAGCTCGCCGACGGTAGACTGGCCCACGACTTGATAAATATTTAAAGCCTTCTATAATTCCCCCTTTAGTCTACCCGGACACTGTCTCTCTTTCCTCGTGGTAGCGTCTTTGAGTTCTTCCGGAGGTCCTTCAATTCCGATACACCCCGATGTAACAACATTTTAGCTGGGGCAACGAGTAAAAGTAAAGCTTCTTGAACGATTTCAGATAGAGAGGATAAAACGTCCGGGTCGAAGGTGAAGCAGTTACTTTGTATGTAAGTAGGTTGGCTCTTGTGTCGACCTTTTTTGTCAGATCTCACAGTAAAATATAATAAAAATACATTGCGCCTGAAAAGACTGTGTAACGAAGTAATGCAACCGGTTTGCACGATATAGCGAGGTTATAAATTAATATATAATATACCTAGTAGCATCTATCGATGAAAATGCCAGCTATGTAGCCAGTGACGATATATGGCATTCTTCTTTTCTTATTATCAGCAGGGGTTGAACCAAGTCCGAGCTATATATCATTCGATCCTGACTGGAATTTCGGGCTTTATTTCTTATCATCTCAGCCTTCTGTCAATTCGTTCGAACAGATGCAAGGTCAGCAAAAGAAATACCATAAAGTAGAATACGACCGAACACGTCAGATACGCGAATGGAAATACTTTTCAAATATTATTTTTTTAAGAATTGTCTCTACCCTGTAGAATGCGAAACCTTGATCCGCGCTATTTTTCAAAGTAGTTCGTATCATAACGTAGAATAAGAACGGACACGTCGGACGCTCGAATAAAAATACTTTACGGATATGTACTTTCTAGAAACTATTCCGTAGAAAAGTCAGAAAGCTTGGCCCTCGAAATTCGTCGGACTAATTCGAAAGGAAGAAAGTAACGATGGCAAATATTCCCCTGTGTTTCTTGTTCAAAGCGTAGTCCAAGAGTTAACCCAAATTCGGCGTTATGTATCCTCATGACCGTACGCCTGTTTCGGTAGTACGAAACGTACGTAGGTACAGGTACGTGCAGCTTTACGTAACGGCCGCGGTGCGAGTCGTTACGCGTCCTACCATGGGAATTAACGTTTGTTTTAATGGACGTACTTTTCGCCCCGAGTCGGCATGCTACGTCGTTACACAGAGAACCATCGCTGGTAGGTAGATTCGTTCTCTGGCCGCGTGTGATGCACGCGCGTGTTAGGCACGAATTCGTAGCTGCATCGCCATCGGTGATAGCTATTCGCACGAACAGCATGATTTGCAACTTGATTGCTCGATTCGAAGCCCAGGGATAGATGATACGCGGCCAATTGTTCCGTCGGAATAACCTTTCCTTTCTGAAACACGGTTTCTTCGATTCTTGGCTGCTCGATCTATTTGCTAATTTTCCGTAGGAAATAAAAATAAAAAGATATGCGAAGATGGTCGGAGAAGTTGAAGGATTTAATGTATGGTAATTCCAAGTACGTTGAAGGATTTTCACGGAGCTACGGAGGATGCTCTTGTTGAATTTTAAAAGTGGATTTGATCGTGAAATTTCCTCGAGCTTTCTTCGCAGCAGCTTTTCTTCCTCCCTCAAAAAAGGTTGCATTCGAGCATGCAGTCCGAGTGTGCATTTGTTCTCGTTAAGCTGATCCTTTAATGTAATTAGAAGCCGACTGCAACGGTATGTTAAATTAAATATGCTTCTTTGAAACCGTGTCCGTGCCACGCCGTAAAGTAAGAACCTTCTATCCTACGCATTAAACCGTGAAATAATCCAAATCCGAAAATCCACCCGTACTTTGTCTCCCCTGTGGTGTAAAAATATCCCTAAAAACTCCAACGACGTCGTCTGTCCACTTCGAAAAATGATTATCGAACCACACGTTCAGACACCAAACGATATTCACTACCCTAAATTCCACGATAGAATCTCTTTTCCGGCCAGAAAATTCGATGTCGATCCCTCTTTCTTTCGTTCACGTTCGCCTAACAGTTAGCAAACTTTTTCCACTGGTCTACCTCTGCACCTTTTATCCGACCAGTGGAAATCATGAAAAGGATTTACAGACGGAGTTTGAGGATCGGTAACGATGTTGCTTTTTGCTACGAATCGGTGGCAAATAAAAGTTCGCCGCGGTATAATTTCCTTTATTCGTCGTCAATCAGAGAAACTTTGATCACGAAAAAGGAAACGGGAGTAGGATTTTCGTGGCGAGTACCGCGTTACCAACGGCGAGACCACTTTCTTGATTAGACCGGCCAGTTTAAGCGGGCGAAACTATTACATTCGTTAAACGCGGTTCGGTCCGAGCGTTCGCTGAACTTTTTATGGAACCACGGTTTTTTCCGAATTTGTAGGTCGAACCTTTTGAAGGAAGCTGCTACGGAAGTACCGATTCGAGTTACGATCAAGCCGATGTTTAATCTCGTTGCAAGCCTCTGACGTTCGAAGCAGTAGAAATGGCGGGAATGTTGCGGTTTTTTAAAACATCTCGGGTAATCGCTCGTAGGAAACGATATAACGAGAAATTCTGGAATTTGCATCGTGGAGATTTGTACGTTGGTCGATAAAAAGAAATGTTTCTATTTGGTAGATTGTTCAAGACTTTCGCATAGTACCGTACGTCGTAAATTATCGTTATCAGCTTCTATCTGATAATATAGTACGAACGTACGGCGAAATATCTACCATTTGCGCTGTAGAACAATGAGTAACGAAACAGAAGCGTATGCCGAAATCAATAACTAATTTATGGCGAATATTTATGATTATACGAGCTCGATAAGAAGTAATTAGAAAATATCTATCGTAAAATCAACACGATAAATCACATCGTACGCGTTTGGACATTTCCCATACGAATTTATATCTACTTTCCAATTTTTGTTACTAATTACAAACAGACCTTTATTTGTATAATAAGTTTTAGGTAAAAAGCATTGTTTGCAAAACCAAAGTTTATATTTCATGCTTCGGGCAGGGAAAATATTTTTCAAAATCATAGAAAAATCAACATAGCAACGATATCGAAAATGTTTTCGATGTTTCGATCTTCGAAAGCGATGGCGACGTTTCCCCTTTCGAAGAGAAATTCCGTTTGCCGTAGTGGAAGGGCGATGAAATTTATCGGGAGTCGAGTTAATCGTACAAGCCTCGTTAGTCCCGTTATTGAGTTACACAAAATGCTGAGAGCAGCTGCACCCGTCACTTTCTGCCGTGATCAGCTAGGTGAGAGTGATAAGAAATATGATGAACGACCCGTTACAGGCGAACGGTTGACGC